GGTGGGGGGATTGGAGGTGGATGGGTGGAGATAGACAGGTTTTTATGGGTGGCCGGAAATTCATAATAGACATCTTTCTTGGAGTTTGCTAAAGGACCTGTTTGCACAGTCGGGGTTGCCTTGGGTTTGTATTGGTGATTTTAATGAGGTTCTTTTTTCTTTGGAGCAAATGGTAAAAAATGATCGGGCTGAGTGGCAAATGGCAAATTTTAGAGATGCGGCTAATTTTTGTGGCTTGAGTAGTGTGGCTTACTCGGGTTATGAATTCACTTTTGACAATGGTAGAGAGGAGGAAGAGAATACTTAGTGTCGCCTTGATCGAGCTATGGTTATGGATAGTTGGAAGGGTTTGTTCCCGGATGCTTATGTAGTACATATTGATAGGGAGTGGTCAGATCACTCCCCTATCAAACTTGTTTTGCGCAATATTTTGAACAGGAAAATTGGTGAAAAGTCGTTTCGTTTCGAGCAATTTTGGCAGGCTAATGATGGGTGCGAGAATATTGTGGAAAATGCGTGGATTGGTGGGCTCTCTATCTTTAGAGGCTAAATTGGCAATATGCGCTGGAGATTTAAAGGATTGGAGTTCTCGTACCTTTGGAGCTACTTTTCTTAAGTTGAGGAAAAAAAGGAAAAAATTAAAGAAACTCAATGGGGGCAAACTCACGGCTGCCCAACTTAAGAAGAGACGGAGTTTGCTTCGAGATATTGCGGGGATTGTTCAACATGAAGAGGTGTTCTGGAAACAACAATCTTGGGTTTTTTGGCTTGAGGAGGGGGATAAAAATACCAAGTTTTTCCATCAGCGTGCTTCAAGTAGGAAAAGGAGGAATGAGATTAGGAAGTTGTTTGATGAAAATGATACATGCTATTCGGGGGATGAGGAAGTAAGAGAGGTGGCTGTCTCTTATTTTCGCTCTTTATTCACTTCATCAAACCCTTCTTTAATTGATCAGGTGCTCCAAGATTTTCACAATAGAGTCACGGCAGAGATGAATGCTATCTTGACAGCAGATTATAGAGTTGAGGAGGTGAAGATTGCTTTGAGTCAAATGCATCCTATCAAGGCTCCGAACTCGGATGGGATGTGTCCTCTCTTTTTTCAGTCATATTGGCATATAGTAGGACCGTCGGTGACTAACTCGGTGCTTGATATTTTACGAGGTGCGCCTATTCTTTCCTTCATGAATAGAACATTTATAGCTTTGATTCCGAAAAAAGCAAATGTTGATAGAATGGTAGATTTTAGGCCTATTTCTTTGTGTAATGTGATTTACAAATTGGTCTTAAAAGTGTTGGCAAGTAGGCTAAAATTGTTTCTTGATAGATTTATTTCGGTTAATCAGAGTGCTTTCACCCCGGGGCGTTTAATTACGGATAATATTTTGGTCTCTTTTGAGATGTTGCATCATATGAAAAATTTGACGCAAAAGGAGGGTTGTTCGGCATTGAAGCTCGACATGTCGAAGGCTTATGATAGGGTGGGGAGGCTATTTTGAGAAAATTTGGCTTTGATGATGCTTGGTGTGATCGGGTGATGGATTGCGTGAGGTCGGTAACTTTCTCGATGTTGATTAATGGTAAACCTACAGAGGAGTTTAATCCGGGTAGGGGCATTCGCCAGGGAGACCCTATATCCCCGTATCTATTTATTCTGTGTGCGGAAATTTTTTCTCATTTGATAAGAAAGGGAGGAGAAAAGGGTAGTCTATGGGGAGTCTGTGTAGCACCTTTGGCTCCATCTATTAGTCACTTACTATATGTGGACGATTGTATTATTTTTTCGAAAGCGGTAGTGAAGGATGTTGATGCTATTCTTGATGTGTTGCATTGTTATGAAATGTCGTCGGGTCAAAAGATTAATTTTGATAAGACTACAATCTCGTTTAGCAAGGGTGTTCCGGAGGCTAGGCGTGGGGAGCTTGCTGAGTTATTAAGAGTCCAGGTGGTGGATGTTCATGATAGATACTTGGGTTTACCTACGGTGGTGGGAAGATCGAAGAAAGTTATCATTAAGGGTGTTAGAGAGAAGTTGTGGAAGAAGCTATAAGGATGGAAGGGGATGGTGCTTTCTAAGGCGGGTAGGGAGGTTATGATAAAGGCGGTGGACGAATCTCTCCCTACTTATGCGATGAGTGTGTTCAAGTTTCCATCTTCGTTTTGTGATGAGTTAAGGTCCCTTGTAGCGCAATTTTGGTGGGGGCAAAAAGAAGGAGAGAGGAAGATACATTGGTTGTCTTAGAAGAAGTTGTGCCGTACAAAGAAGGATGGGGGCTTGGGTTTTCGGGATTTCAAACTCTTTAATTGGGCGTTAATTGGGAAGCAAGCATGGAGGTTAATCTTGAAACCTGGCAGCCTTCTTGAACAAGTTCTTAAGGGAAAATATTACACAAGTTCGAATTTTATGGACTCCCAATTAGGTGCTTCCCCTAGCTATACGTGGAGGGGTATTTGGGAATCTAAATGGATTCTGCGTAGAGGATTGTGTTGGAGAATGGGGGATGGTGTTAGTATTGGGGTGTGGTCTGATTCATGGATACCAGGCACGCAAACTCGCAAGGTGCTGTCGCCAAGGGGTAATGCTGATCGTTTTTTAAGGTGAGTGACCTCACAAATTCCGCTGCTTGTAGTTGGGATTCGGAGCGCCTTTCCCATCTGTTTTTGCCCTTTGAAAAGGATGGAATTTTAAGCATTCCGTTGAGTAGTAGGTTGCCCTCTAATTGTCTTTATTAGGACCTTAAAAAAGATGGTGTATACTCGGTTCGGTCAGCATATAGAGCCTTAATAAATGATGAATGGCCGAAAGAGGAGGAAGAAACTTCTATGGGGCATAACTTTTGGGGAAAAATCTGGAATTTTCATGTTCTCCCAAAGGTTAAGATTTTTGCTTGGAGAGCCTGCCAGAATGCAATTCCAACTCGCAGAGGCATTAATAGCCATGTTTAGAGCTTTGATTTGACATGTGGTATTTGTGGGAGGGAAGAGGAATCCACGCTACATGCCTTGAGAGAGTGTAATCTTGCTAGGGAGGTATGGAAGAGTAGTGCTTACTACAAGGTCTTGGATGGTGGCTTTGCCTCTTTAATTGATTGGTGGGAATATATGGTGTATTAAGGAATTTGATGATAAGGAGGTGAAGGAGATTATCATATTGAGCTGGGCTATATGGAATGCGAGAAACAAAGCGACTATCTTGGGCGAAAAACTAGAACCTGACAGTGTTGTGAGCTATGCTATGAAGGTTTGTGAGGAGCTTCGTGGTCTTGAGGAGAAGAAGGGAAGTGGGAGGGCTGTCGGGGAGGCTACTACTGTAGTCTGGAAGCTGCCTGATGCGGGGTTCACTAAGGTGAATGTTGATGTTGGGTTGCTTGGGAGGTGGGATCTGGGATTGGCGTGGTCTACAGGAACAAAGTGGGAGAGGTGACTTGTTGCTCTGCTGTACAAGTTTCGGAGGTTTGGGATACCACAATTGCTGAGGCTAAGGCAGTATATTCGGGCTTGAAGGTGGTGTATGAATCTGGGTTGAGCAATATTGTGGTCGAGAGCGATTGCTTGCGAGTTATTGAAGCTCTGCGCAATAACACGAAGGGATCCAACCATCTCCATCTTGTCTTAGATGATATTTTTTATTTTGCTTAAAAGTTTTCATGTGTTAGTTGGTCTTTTGTTAAACGTGGTGGTAATAAGGTAGCACATGAGTTAGCACATTTCCAACCTTGGGATGTGGGTAAACGAGTGTGGCGAGGTGTAATCCTACCACGTATTTCTAATTTAGCTTCTAATGATATGCCAGTCTAAGCCCGAATTGGTTCTTCAAAAAAAAAAAATTATGGTAGGTACAACGTTCGAGTCCTGCTATATATGTACTCTTTTTTAAAAAAAAAAAATTAATTTTTTTATCTTCTCTTTAATTTTAATGTTTATTTTATAATTTAAAGGTTTGAATATTCTTTCTATTTTCGAATGCTCTGTTTGTGCTTTACTTTTCATTTTGATCTTTTTTTTTTTTAATTTCATTCCTATATTTTGAAAGATTGTAACATTATTTTTATACTTTTATTCCCACTAATGGTCCCTTGACTCAATTTCATATGTAGAAAATATTACCATTCTCTCTTCTCTTTACAATAACCGGTAAATACTTTTATAACTTTTTTTAAAAAACATATTTCGATATCTTCAATAATATCACAAAAATTACATTTACTTCTTTATTCTAAACCTCTGCAACAAATTATAACAGATCATTTTCTAAAAAAAATACAATATTATTATACATTTCTTAAAAGAGGGAGGGAGGAGCCAAATGTATCTCAATTGCATAGGGCCTCCATAGTTGGGACGACCCTGTTGTCACATTTGTGAAGTAATTCGTCACCTACAAAATGTAATGTACATTTGATAAGATCTTATTGAAGGCCCTACATACAATGCCGTCTATGTCAAAAAAATTTGAGTTTTACAACCCATGAAAGCCCCAATCGTTCTAAAGCACCATCGTTCTTGCATTGGATTTGGGTACCCAAAAAGGCCATCATAACTAACGTCCACAACCCATAAAGACCACCTTTATGATGCTAATCATGATTTAATTATTATTTAGGGCCTGTTCTCTTACGTTGAAATTCAGTTCAGTTCAGTTCAGCTCAGTTCAGTTCAGTTCAGCTTAGCTTAGCTCAGTTCAGTTCAGTTCAGTTCATCTCAGTTCAATTCAGCTCCTAATTTCCTTCTCTTATAAAATATTCATTTCAGTTCAGTTCAGTTCGGTTCAGCTCAGTTCAGCTCAATTCAATTCAGCTCAATTCAGTTCAGTTCAGTTCAGTTCAGCTGAGTTCAGTCAATGAGAACATGCCCTTAATTACTACAAATCAACTTAGATCTAGAACATACGTACAATTATATAATCCAACTTACATAAAATATTTCAATCAGATATAATTTGATCAACGCGTCAAAGCTGACATTTTCTCAATCCTACTTAGATCATCCCATCTAAAGATACAAACGCTAATCGGTGAGTTCAAATTTTCTAATAGTTTACATCATCTTGACAGTGACTCGAGAGGTTCATTTGGTTTTCCAATTTCCACACTTAAATGGACCTTTTCTTTAATTTTCAGTACACTACTCTACTGCTGTTTACCAATCTCTTTGCTTTGGCAAGTGCTCCAAGTAACATTTCATACCTTCACCAAGATCATGCTTACGCAAAAGCTCATGTTCAAGCCGGTGCCCGATGGGATCTTTACCCCTTATGTCTCATCCGATCCACAATTTCCTTCTTGGGTCATCATCGATTATTTTTCAACCAGTAATACAGGTAAGATCGAGGTCTTTTTTTGAAAGGAGATTGAGCTCTAGTGTTTATTTTGATCTTGGGTTTTAATCCGTGTTTAGTTGTTTTCATGTTATTACATAAGGTTATTTAAACTAGCATGACAATTAAATCAAAGCTGACGACTTGTTATTTTGTATGTTTTTGATCGAAGTTGAATATGATGAACCCTTGGGAGCCCTTGGCAGAGTTGATGAGCCAACACCCACCGTTTCGCTTCCTGAAGAGCTAGCTCCGCCCTTTCCGCCGCTTTCTAACTTTATTCACCAAGTCAACGACGATGGTTCCGGTAACGGTAAGTTTCACTTTGTTCCAAAGTTGTAGTTTCATGGGTTCATTTGTGTTATTAACTAAGATTAATATATTCATAGTTTTTCTAATTATGCGGTTATATGCTACATTAAATAACCCTAATATAGTAATAAATGGGCAAATATGAATATTTATTCGTTGATCAACGAAATTGTCTCCTAGTAAAACCCACCAACGTCATGGAGGTAAAACTAGATACTCTTTTTTTTTTTTTTTTTTAGGCCAGGTAAAAGTAGATACTAACATAACGGAAACCAATAAGGATAGATGCATTAAATATTGATGATACAATTTATAAATGTTATGAGATTGTTTACTTAATTATCTATTATATTCATTAAAAACATTATAGACGAATTCTTGCCTGTTAAGTACTCCTAGTTATTTGGTGTTTATGTTGTTAGAAGAGTCCCCATTTGGGCATTTAGATGGGATTTGAGTAGGGTCAAATCAAATCATGTCTCGGATTGGATCATGTCAAGTAAATATAACCTCCTCATTGGTGGGTTAAAGTTTGACCGGGTCAAGTTTGATACAAGTTATGTTATGTTGTTCACACTTTTTAATGGAGGTTGGATTTGATTTGAGTCAAAGTTGGGTTGACTTTAATTTTAAATTTGGGTTATATCAAGTCGTGACTGCTATATTCAATTTAAGGTTAGATTTGGGTCAGATCGATAATTATTGGATCTGCTAATCTTAAATCAAGTCATTCATGATTTTGGGTGAAGTTCAAGTCAGATCAATACTGATATGTTCAAGTAAAACCTATATAATTTTGTCTTTTACAATTTGATCAAGCATTATAACAGATATGATATTAAACTTAATTGTGTTGCGAATAAGAGGTATCATGAAAACAGAATATATCAATACTTTATTAAGCTAAACTTAATTTTATATTGAAATCAAATTAAGCTCAAGATTTATATAGATTGAATAATGAACTTGTTTTGGGTTGGGTTGAAAACTAGTCAAGTTGACAGGTTTAACACTATTCGGGTTTTTTTCGTGGTTGGTTGAGTTCACAATGATAAGTCAAATAGGCTTGCACTGCATTAGAGATCATTAGGGTCGGGTCAATAACAAGCTACGTTGGGTTAGAATAGGTTTCGAGTTTTAGTTGGGTCGGGTTGCCAGTTTAGGTTTAGACTATCACCGGGTCAGTTTATAGCAATATTTGATTGATATGAGAATATTAGCTCATATCAATTGCCGGTTGATAATTTGGTCGATTCGGGTCGAGTCACAAGTCAATAATTTCGCTCCATTGTTGGGATACAAAGTTGCCAAGAAATAACTTGTAATGTCAAATTTTGAAATAATATGCAATGAATCTGGACAATCCGAACAAGGAGGATGAGAGTTTGATCCACAAACAACACTTATTGGCAAGAATAAGAGTAACTCTTCTACCTTATAAAGTGGAACATCTCTCATCTTTCTCTAATTCATATTTTGATATTATAATATTGCAGTTAAGCTTCTCGCTGAACAGAACTTAGAGAGAACACTTTTGGATTTCCAACCACAACTAAAGACTAATTAAATTGTAGCTGTTCAATTATGGCTTGTAACAAAAATCGTCAAGAAAAATGTACTAAGATCTTCACCACGCAATATACCTGGTTCGTGGACCGAAGATCAGCGGTTCATGCTAGATGTGACTGAGGGATACTTGTGTGAATCGTTAACCCGAGTTTATTCCTGTGATAGAAAGACTAACAACGGCAGCTCGTTTAACCTCATTGACACCCTTATCCCGTACAAGACTACTTCGGAAGAGGTGACTTATCTTCTGAATAGGCAGGTTTCGGTCTCTGCATTTCGACTTAGGTGCCCTCAATGGGCGCCTAATATGCATATATACAAGCCTCATCATCCAAAGTGTCCGAAACCAAGTGGTTCCAAGGGAAACTATATCATATGTGGAACTTTGGCAATACCTGTGTTTGATCCTTACACTAACCAATGTGTTGGAGTTTATGAAGTTGTAATATCATCTGCCGAAATTGACCTTGCTGTCGTTGATATAATCTGCAATCTTCTCAAGGTTATACTCTTTTAATTTATGTGTATCCTCCGTTTTCTTCTAATTCTAAAGCTTACCGTACTCTGTGTCTCATTTTACATGTTTCACTTGGAACTTTTTGGTAAAAATGTGAGCATTACTATAATGCAATGTGAGATAAATAATGTTATTAAGTTATTAGCTAATAAGTATTGGTTAATATTCGAGACAATGGTGGAATAAAAATGTTTTGCAAATTTTGATTTTTTTTTTTTTAAATGACATGCAATTTTGATTTATATTAGTAGGTATATACATTGATATATGTCATTAATTAAGGGATTTCATGCTTTCAATAAAAATAAGTTAAGTTCATTAAAAATAGTTTTAATTAAGTTAAAATCAGTAAATCTAGAGAAAAAAATTTAATAGAGAATTAGTGAAAATAATTTCAGTTTAGTAAAAATAATTTCAATTCTTCAAAAATAAAATGAAGTGAACATGGCCTAATATATTAAGTGTTGTGACTTAATTTCTTCTTCAAAAAAAAAAAAAAAAAAAAAAAAAAAAAGAAAAGGTATTGTGATTGAATGTCTAAGTGGCACTATAAAAAGAGGGTGCCCCATTTTCTCATGGTGAAAAAAAAACAAAAAACAAAAAAGAGGTATTGTGATTGAATGTCTAAGTTGGCACTATAAAAAGTGTTGTGCCCCATTTTGTTTCTCACATGACATTTTCGTAAATAAATCAATAACTTTTTTCAACTGTGGAGCCTACAATAATGAAAAATTTGTTGATTTATTCACGAAAATGCCCCCATGAGAAATAAATTCCGTTTCTCACCATGAGAAACAGGGAATTTCCCCTATAAAAATGTAAAATTCCAATTTCCACCACCATTATAAAATTGTTTTCAACACAATGATATTTTAGCTAGGTGAACATTTGGAAAACTTATTTTGCCAAAATTGTCAAATTAATAAAGTTTAAATCTCTTACAGGATGTAAACCTTCGTGCAGACACACAGGTAACACTTCCTTTTGAGTTTGTTACCAATTTCATATACAAGATCTTTCGAGATATTATTTATCAACTGATAGCTAAATAAATTTAATTTCATTTACAGTTTCATTACCAACCTCGGCAAAGAGTGCTAGCTGAGATTATGAAAGTGATAACCAAGGTATGTGAGGATCATGATTTGCCTTTGGCACAGACTTGGATGCCTTGTACATGTCCTGATCGAAGCTGCAATTTGAAGCAACTCTGCATGTCAAATGCAGAGTTGCCTTTTTATATGAGAGACCCTTCTTATTACCCCTTTTGGAAAGCCGGTGCCATGTATCACATGACTGAAGGAAAGGCGGTTGCTGGCACAACATTCTCATCAAAAGGACTATGCTTTTGTAGAGACATCACCCGGTTTCCTGACAATTTCGCCTTGGTACCTTTGTCACGTCAGTTTAAGATTAATTGTTCGTTGGCTGTATGCTTCGGAAGTGCATACGCAACCAATGATGTCTATATCGTCCAATTCTTTTGGCCAAGAACCTTGAAACACACGATAGAAGATGATGATCTAAAGGTCTTTTCCATTACAGCATCAATGAAACAACAATTTGATAAGCTAAGTATGGTTTCACCTGTTTATGAAGAGTTGGAGGCTGAAACTGAGCGAGTTAGTTACCGTACAAAACTCATCGATGGTGAGGGTGATGAAGAAGATTTTACATTCTTATCGAGTACAATAATGGCAAGGGACGAGCACAATAATGAAGTTGGCACCCGTTCAAATATGTCAATTGATCATGAACACCAATCTATGAATCATAAAAGTGATGGTGTCAAACGCGAAGTTACAAAAAAAGCTAGGAAGAAAAAGTGCAATTTGACCGAGGATGATTTGTTGCCATTTCTCAAAGGAACATTAAATGATGCAGCTGACAAACTTGGAAGTAAGCCTTTATTTCAAAACTTGTCAGGTTGTCAAAATCAGTAACTACTATATATGTTTCATATTATTTGCAACAATTTGACTTTGTGAGTGAAAAGTGTCAAATTGTTACAAATAATATGAAACGCATGTAGTATTATTATTCTTGTTAATGACAATAACATGTACAATTATGGAGGTGTTTAGTACCACTACTCCTAGTTTGTACTTCTACAAGCTTACAAGTATTAAACGAGGAGTAACATCTTCAAAATGATACAATACTTGTTAATGTTGCTTGTGTCATTAATTATTACGACACTACTCTTGGCACAGACATTGTCACCTTCAAAATGAGTTGCATGTCATTTAATTATTGTGGTGTCTTTTACCATGCTAATAATCGATAGATGCAATTACATTATTTTTGTGCAGTCTCAGAATCCACCCTAAAGAGAAAATGCAAAGAATTGAACATCGAGAATTGGCAAGATGAACGAAAGAACCAAGGTATTAGTGCTCCCGTAAGGAAGAGACGAGTATCTAAAGGTATGTAATTTTTTTTAAATTCATCTAATACATGTTATATGTACGATGTAGCAGGTTTAAAGTTCTTAAAAGGGTGAATTATCACAAAATTTCATATGTGGCTGACCAAATCGTGTGGCTATATACATTTTTTGTAAAGAATGGTCGGGATTACCTGGTCTGGGGTTACTTGGCCGATCAGTAACTACTCGGTTTGGTATTACTCAGTCGATCAAGGGTTACTTATCAGAGATTACTCATGTGTTAGCTGGCCACGCGATGTGGCCAGCCACACATGAAAGTTGTTGTAATATAAGTGAAATGAAGGGGAAGATTTTTTTTTTTATTTTTTTTTAGGAAATGGGGAAGATATCAATCAATAACTATATACTAAAAGACACACATGACACGTGTTATTTTCTGGTGTGTCCCTAGTTTTTTTTTATTATTATTTTAAAATAAAATCATTTACATATCTAATGTATAACAGAAGATTTGATGCCTCTTTCCAAAAAAAAACAAAAAAAGCATATGAACAACTATAAACTTAAGAAAAAAAATTATCATATTTGTGAAATATGGAGTATTTGTTTTAGGAAAGACACATTATATATGTACGTATTATATATTCATATATGTCTTATGTAGTACGTACTACATTTATTTTAGCAAGATTATATATATTTTCTTGATTTATTTTTTTATTTTATTTTTTATTATGTAATAGATACTTCAATAATGAAATGCACATATTAAATCAACTAATAATGAAACTTTTGTTTATTCCTTGAATAATTCATGATAATTATATTAATCAATTAATACTCTACTATAAACTACAAATATTTCAATAAAACTTAACAAGATCGATGCATGTTGATTATTATTAGTGTGATTTTTTCTTGCCAAATTTTGTTGTTCGATTCAATTGATATGAATATAATATACGAAAGTATTTTTTTTAAAAAAAAAAATAGTGTTAGTTTAAAATATAGTTATTAAAAACTATCGTGCACGGAGCTTATCTAGTTTGAACACTATGGAAAAGATAGGTTTTTTTTTTATTTTAGATTATTATTATTATACATTATTTTATAAGTTTACTCATGGGTTCTTCTGTTCTTTAATATTGTAGACATGGAATTCTTAGAAGAGGAATTATGAGAAGGTTTAGTGTATGTGTTCATGTTATGTCCTTTTTTTTTTTTTTTTTTTTTTGTTGAACAAAATCCACATGAAATGAATTGTCATAATATTTTATAAAAATAATTTAGTCTGCAATGTCGTTAATGTATAGAGATTCAATAATGTAATGTGGTAAGACTGCAAAATAACTGATTATGTAGTAAGCTATATATATGAATGATATGATTATAAAAGATGATGGTGCAATTTTCTTTAATGTCATATTATTAGTTAAAAAATACTCCTCCGTCCCTTAATACAATGTCTCTTTCTGTTTATTATGTGAGGAATAAATGCTCAAAAGAAGCATTGTATAAAGGGACGGAGGAAGTAGTATAAAACAATATATATAACTCCTTCCGTCTCATCTTATTAATCTTGACCCATTTTTTGTGAGAACTTTTTACGTTGGGCCGGACAAGAAAAATGAGAAGCAAAGAGTATTGTTCTCTGTATCTTATCTTGCTTATTAGTCCAAAAGTTATCTTTTACTTGAACTTATTAAAAATTATATAACCTTAACAAAATTTATTTCACCTTAGACCATATACCTTATCTTATTATCAACCATTTCTTTTGTAATATACTATACTATTGGAATTTAGAATTTTATTTATCTAAATGCTACCTAGGTTAAATCGATTACTACATACCTCCGAATTTTTTTAGTTGCAACTTTAGAATATTTTTTCTCACAAATAATACCCAAAATTACAACTAAAAACAATTAGACGTAATATTAAATTCAAAATAAGGGAAAATAAGATAGAGAATATTAGAGTTTAGCTGGGGCAAATAAAAAGTACAAGTTTCATCTTTACTCGTGCATACACTTTTTAGAAAGTAAGTATAGTATATTAATTATCTTGTTTACTTACTTTTCGTTCCCTAAAATGTATTATGTCTTGTGTGGTGCAGGTTGTCCATCTTGGAAGGCTTGTGATGATCCAACTTTGTTGAGGAGCTGATCTCTTTTGAATGGGTGTGTAAATAGATGAATAAAATTTCAGATGATTATTAGTTATTGTAAGATAAATTTTGGATGGATTATGTAGTATGTTTATGCAGAAATATTCCTTTATTTAGTCAAAAACATGACGTTAGTACATCTTTAGTCTTTCAATGATTTACCTAGAAGAGTGAGTGTATTTTGTAAATATCTATGAGATTATACTTGTGATTTTATGAATTGTGATCGATAATATGCAAAATAATACTACTATGTTCTATCATCATAGTATTACTTCTTTTTTAGAGTAAGAGATAGCGTAGGTGTTGTTTCAATGAATGCTACAGGATGAATTGTAGTATTACGAATTAGTCAACTCTTTGCGGAATTAAAACAAATAAGCTTAAGGAACTCAAAAGTGCAAACAAAGATTTTACATGGAAACCTTGCTTCTTGGCCCTAAAGAAAAAGAAAAATCACGATCACAAGAGATTTTAATTAGGAAAAGACTTTTTACTAGAATAGGACAAATGACTATTACAAAAGACTCTTAATTCAAGTTCCTCAACGAACTTAAAGCCCCAAGCAACAAGCTAAGTCCCTAAAACTGTTGTTGTTTTCTTCTCTTTCTCTCTTCTCTTTTCCTAGATTCACCCAAAGCTAAACAGAATTAACTCAAACTCCATATTCCCAAATACAACTCGAAAAGATCAACTCTAGTATAAGAATATAAGAAGACACTTTGTAACTTGTATGGAATAAGACTCTTAACTTGATTAAGAAAATAAAAAGACAAAATTACAGCTAAGCAAGGGTGAGTTTTCCAACCGAAATACATTGCTATTTATAGACTTGTTTTGCTTAGGAAAAATGCTATTTAGTGCTGCTACGTCTTGATGCCACTACTGGTCTGTCCACTTCATCTTAATTTCAGTTCAGTTTAACTCTTAATTTTCTTCTCTCATAAAATATTCATTTCAGCTCTATTCAGTTCATTTCAGTATAGCTACAATCAGTTCAGTTCAGTTCAGCTCAATTCAGTAAATGTGAACAGGTCCTAAAAAAAAACATATCCTAAAAATTAGGGTATGAACCTCCTTCATGCGCAAGAATGTGGGTTGGACTAAGTCATATCATACATGGAGAGTAGTCTGCAACAATAGGCAATAATAATATAACAAATTTTATTTTCACAACAAATCACATGTTTTCATAAAAATTGGAAAGATAAGATTCAAAACCAACTGTTTTCTACAAATATGCCACTCATAAAATATCTTTTACGACAAATTCCACACAACCACTTAGTATTCACTTAGTTCTCGTACTTACATAATTCATAAGGAGAAGGTTTTGGATGATTTTCCAAACTAAGCTTAACTACGAAATTAATTACGAAAGTAGACGCGTGGCAAAACTATTTACCAAACTAAGCTTCTAGGGTAAAGCGCTGTCTCGGACAGCGTTTTACCCCTGAATTTTTTAAAAAAAAAAAAATCAAAGTGTAAAACGCTGCCTCAGTCAGCGTTTTACATGTTGACTTTTTATTTTTTAATTTTTTAATTCTTAATTTCTGATTTAAAATAAATAAAAAAAAAAAGAAAACTTTACACTAAAAACGCTGACTGAGTCAGTGTTTTAAGTGTAGATTATTATTTTTTTTTAAATTATTACCAAGGGTTTAACATTTGCAGAGAAAAATGGCGTCTTCGATGCTCAAATCCCTGAGAAAATCAGCGGCAGCAATTAGCTCGTCATCATTTCTTAATCATCAGATTTCTTCAACTTCAACAGTACCTTATCTTCTCAAACCCAGATTTCTTCAACTTCAACAGTAACCTAATGCAGCAAATGAAGATAGAAAAAAAAAACTAAAGAAGAAGAGTATGGTGAAATACCCACCGAAGGAATTAGCAGACCCATGTCTCAAATTCTTAAACAACTCAACAAAAAAGTTACTGATTCTCTTATTAGTAATTGGGTATTAAAAAACTTTTGTTGCAGGGAGATTATGGCAGGAGGAGGAGGTACAAATTAAAATTAAAAAAAAAAAAAAATTACACTAAAAACGCTGACTCAATCAGCATTTTTAGTGTAATTTTTTTTTTTTAATTTAAATAAGAAATTAAGAATTTTTTTTAAAAAAGTCAACATGTAAAACGCTGTTCGAGACATCGCTTTACCCTGGAAGCTTAATTTGGTAAATAGTTTTGTCACGCGTCTACTTTCGTAATTAATTTCGTAGTTAAGCTTAGTTTAGAGAATCATCCGAAGGTTTTGCGTGAGACCGTTTCACATGAGTCCGAATTATAATGCACATACTCATCCCCCACTCATTTCATCGTTGTTGTCTCCATCGATCTCTGTCGTCTCAGCCACCACCACCACCTTCGCCCCCGTCCTTCCATCCCCTTTTCCGTCATCGACAAAACCCAGCAACCCGAATCCAAACCCGAACAACCCATCAATGAAAGACTCGAATTCCTACCTATATGGTTCAATTCTTTGAGGAAAAGAACCAAGGATATTCTCAGTGCTGTTGCGTCGCTTATCTTTGGTGCTGCTTGTGGTGCTCTTACTGCTGGAACCATGTACTTGATTCTCTCCTTGTCCAATCACCGACATGGATCTTACTTGATGGGTAATCCGACATTTCTTTATTTCGTGGGTAATTAGATATTCTCAGTGTTTAGTGATTAGTAAAAACATATACTTCCTCCGTTTTTTTTTATTGCATCATAGGGGTTTTGGAGGCAAAATTTGGTAGTGGGAAAAAGTAAGAGAGAGAAACGTAAAAATACAAAATTGTCCATGTAATGTAAGATAAAATAAAAAGTAAGTGTGAAAAAGTAAGGGTATGTTGGGTATTTGCAGTGTGAACATAGATATTTTTTATCCTAAAATGGAATTGATGCAATATTTTGTAAACTTCCCTAAAAGGCAAGTGATGCAATATTAAAAGAACGGAAGAAATATATATATGTATGTATGTATATATATATATATATATGTATGTATATATATATATATATAACCAGGTTATAATGAGAACCTCTCCTATAATAGGAACTAGGAACTAATTACGACCATTAGATTAAAAGCAAAAACGCACATCAGTTTCTCTCTCATCGAGCAGGTTTTCTCTCTCCTCGATTGAAGCTAGTTTATGAAATATCCATTAGAGCTGAGCGACTATTGAGCTTTCTCTTCTCCATTGAAGAGACTTTAAGGCTTTCATTACTCCATCGAAGCTGCTTTAGAGATAAGATTTAATATCACTAGTTTATCATTAATTGTTCATATAGCCAATTTAGGGTTCTTTATAGTGATAGTAGAAATTAAATTCACAATTTGAGGTTATGATAATAACAAATTTACTTATAATCAATCAATAAAATTTTAATTTCTTGATTTTTATTGCAATTTTAGTTCAATTAGCAAGATTTCTAGGTCTACAAATCTAAGCTACTCGTGATTTCTAGGTTTTAAAAAAGTTTAAGCGGTATTCTTCTGTCGATTCTTTGCTAAGTAGAGTGGATTTAGCTGCAAATATCACTCTATTTGATACTCATTCATAATACAGTATTGCTCCTTTTAGGTTTATTTTGCTCATATATTTGTGAAATATGGTGAGTTTTGAGTGAAAATATTTTACTTTTAGTTTATTCTAGTACAAATTATATCACTATAAAGTAAAATAATTTCTTAGTAAATTAAATTGTCCATGAATAAGCAAACTAGATTTCTTTTTAAAGTAAACTAGATATCCTCAAAAGTAATCTTAATTTCTCTCAAAGTAGATAATTTTTTTGTTGGAAGTGTTGGGTCAATCTCCCCAAATCACATATTAGTAGTATTATTATTATTGTATTGTAAAAAGTAAAGGAAAGAAAAAAAAAAGGAGTGGTGGTGGAAGTATCCTTGGCCTCCAAGGTGAAGTAGTTAGTCATACTTTTATTTCCTAGGTGCTAGAATAGGTAGTAGACTTTGACTAAGGTGCATTTATGCTTAGTTGAGTACCTTGGGGAGCAAGGCCTTGTATGCCTATTTAAAGAGGCATGTAATTGAGTTTGTGACAAGAAGAAGAGGTGAAATACCGTGGAGTGAGAAGTAGTAGTAGTGTGAGTGTATTAGTGTTGAAGAATACACAAACACGAGTGCTAGAGGGAGTAAATTGGTGTGAGGCAAACACAATATTAGTCGGAGGGTGTGTAGGATAATTTAGTGGAAGTACCATTGTGAAGGGTACTAAGTAGCATTTTATCCTAAACACATATTGTCTAATATTGTAGTTGTAGTGGTATCCTTTGTACTCCAAAAAATATTATAGTGACATTTCGTCCCTTGAGATCGGGATCGTGGTTTTTCCCTAGTTTAAGAGGGTTTTCCACGTAAAAATATTGTGTCCTTTTTTCTTTATTTTCGTACTTTATTTTCTTCCTGTCGATATTATTTTTATCTGTTACTCGATTCCCAACATCTGGTATTAGAGCCGACGGTTAGAAGATCTGTTAGAAGGGGAGAGTAACTTGTAGAGGAAGATTTTGTGAAAGTACGATGGTCGGAAGTACGCCAAAATTTGAGATCCCACTGTTTGATGGGAAAATGAATTTTATGGTGTGGAAGAGTACCATAGAAGATATGTTGGTACAACAAAATTTGGATGTGGCATTGGAATATGAAAAGCCATCCAACTTGGATGAGGTCGCATGGGCAACCAAGAGAAAGAAAGCAGCTAGTAATTCGGTTGGCTATAGCTACGGAGATCAAGTATAATTTCTTGACGGAGACAGATCCAAAGGTGCTGTTGGAGAAGCTACAAAGTATTTATGCTTCAAAGTCATTAACCAATCGATTGTGCTTACGATGGGATTTGTACCAATTGAAGATGGAGAGTGGTACAAATTTGCAGGACCACATCAACAGCTTTAATCAGCTTGTGTGTCTGTTGCAAAATGCCGATGAGAAAAAACCCGATCAAGAGCAAGCTCTTCTGTTATTGGCTTCATTACCGATAGATAGAGCTTCCTATCATAGATGTCAAGCATTAGCAGTAGAGGGTTTCGAAAGAGGGAGGAACCAATCAAGAGGTGATGGCCCAAGAAGCATATCAAAGTCTCGGCCGAGAGATTATAGCAATATAGAGTGCTATCATTGTCATGAGAAGGGTCATTTGAAGTATAATTGCCCAAAATTTAAAGAAGATTTAAAGAACTTAAAGCAGCTGTAAGGAAAATTGGGCAAAATGAAGATGGTTGAAGGGAGCGATTCT